CAAATTTTCGAATATTCTGAACGAAATCATCTAAAAGTAAGACGCCTCACTTTTTATAACTAAATCAACCAAAACACTCTGGCTTGAAAACTAAAACTTTCTAGCTTCAAAAACACCATACCGACCGCCAACGTGAAAAAGAAAATAATTTTTCCATGCATCTCTGAAACTCAGGTCGCTGCATCTGCTATCTTGCGGTAGATGTTTGTCTGTTAAAAGATTGTTGATCCTGCAGAACTGTGTTGAAAGCGTGCAGAAATCAGCAATTTTTGAAAATTGTTTGCTTCGTAGGAACGTCTGATGGCGATTTTGGCATTTTAAAGCTCATCTTGTGACGGTGAGACGCTGTACAAGCTGGCGCGCGCATCCAAGCTTGCGGAGAACTTCTCAACCTGGCCGTGCCAGCAAATGAGCAGAACCAGTACCTCGCAACATTAAGCCTCAGTGCCACAGCCTTTTGCATGGAAGTGATAGGAAGAAAAACGCTTAACCAACTTGTTGCCTTCCTAACACGCATCACAGAACCCTCGAGGGTACTGCTATCATCTGACTCTCGACCTGGGTACCGTTCTTGGGCACCGCTCCATGATTCGGCTGCTCAAAGACCAACGCTGATGTGATCAAGGACCAACGCTGATGCAAGTGGTCTCTGTCAAAGCTTGAAGCATAGGAACACACGCAGAAGTGGGAAAACACTGTTTCTCGCTTACAACAGCAACCATTTTGGAACTGCGGAGGAAACCCTGTGCCTTAGGCCACTGGGAGTAAAACCGCCGTATTGCAAAAAAGCTGACACATGCTGAAACACATGCTGAAACTCCCCTTGAACCAGCGGAACAAATGCCGTGGAGCCAGGAGTGCCAGCAGGAAACAATTGCGTCTTCTACCCCCCTTCTCGGTGCAGTTGAGCGTCCAGGCCTTTGCCAGACCAACAACCTGCATCTCACTGTGTCCAAGCAGACACACTTACTTGATACTCAACGGCTCCAGACTGGGCCCCTGCTGCAGTGCCTGTGCGAGGGTGCCCTGGACGATGGGAGAACCCCAAGGCTGTCCACGCAATGTTGGGTTCAGCTTCACGCATGATCCACCGCCAGGTAAGGCTTCACCCAGCAAGGCCCCTCGCAGCATGTCAAACGTTTCCTTTTGAGCAACGGCATTCTGGAAAAGGTCTTCCAACTGTAAGTAGCAAAGGCAAAGCGACATCAAACCTGCAACGAAAAGTGATGCAACGTTCGTTGTCATGGCTCCACGCGCAAGTGCGAGTCCAGCATGCACTGCACGCTCAGCACGCGCGTAAGCAAGCGCAGTGACTGGCACAACAAATCCCAGGCGCAGCAGCTTCTGGGATAGCTGCGAGCCGGAGTCTGCCATCTGCTTCTGCGCTGCAACGAAGGCACTGACGAACATGTCTTTCAGGTGGACCAACCTTCTGCCCGAAGAACAAATGCCCCAGCTGACCACAGCTACACTCGCCCACGCCGACACGGTAGGCAACCTAGTGGCCATGTTGGCAGCCTTGGCCTTGGCAGTGCTCATACTGTCACGCAACTTGTGACGCAACTTGTGACCCGTTGTCTTCACCAAGCCTGCACACACGAGGAGCTTGCTGCTGGAAGCTGAACCTGCAGAACTCAAGCAGGCAAGCAATGCAATGGCCATGGCTTTTGTTGTTCGAGCAACCTTGGAGTGACTGTCAAGTTCCGACCAACACGATCCCGCACCAAGCGCGGCCAATCCCACTAAGGCAAAGCATGCATAGGCCAGGTCTGCTGTGGTTTGCAAAGTAAGGTAAAGCTGCGCAACGATTTCTGTTGGCAAACCAGCGTTGTAACACCAAGCGAAGTACAGGCGCTTTGAAGCTGCTGCCAAGTGATGCGCAAAGGCAACTACCGTCAAACTCACCAATACTGACGAAAGCAAAGCCAATGCCAAGAGAGGCCGCAGGAAATGGACTGAGCGCAAGCTCAATGCCGCTGCCAAGCAAGCGACAAAAGGCAAGGCGAGGCCGATGGCACCAGCGCGCTGCAACTGCAGATTGACACTGACGCCGTTGTGCAGAAGGTGCGCATCAGCACATCCGAACGCCTTGGTGCACCAATGGTGCTCGGCTGCGTAAAACGTGAAAGCCACTGCAGATGAGCAATACTGGCGATGCATGGAGCCGCAATCTGCGCTCTCGGCTGACACTGCTGCATGTTCGTGGCAACTAGGCCCGAAGGCAAGCTCGCTGCAATTGCACAAAGTTGGGCTCAGGTCCGGCAAGCAGCCAAAGTAGGACTCCACAGCAGTCAGTTTGCTCCTCTGACTCTGATAAGTGACGAGTCGTACCACATGTGCCGTTCATGGGCACCGAGCTGTCATGGCATGTGAAAGGGCAATCCCAAATGTCGTCATCCGCATCATCCACGAACACGCCGTTCTCTGGGATGAACTCCGCGCACCGCTCAGGCCCATCAGCAACCTTCGAAGAAATGCCGCTGGCTGGGCTAAAATCCTTCTGGAGCTGAGGATACACATCTTCCATCTCGTCATCCCGACGCTGGCGCACCATCTCATCCATCTGGGCGTTCACTGGTTTGAGGTTGACGCGAAACACGCGTGGAAACCCTTTGATCATGCAGCCAAAGGGCCACACCGTGTAGCTAGCTAGCCTCCTTGGTTAACCAGCACTGCTTATGCGCACCCCAAGAGCCGGTGGAGTCTGCTGTGCCAGAGCAATCGACATCCGTGGCCGTGACACCACAAGAGGTTTTCGTGAAAGGGCTAGTGCCCAGAAAGCTTTCGCAGCTCGGACAAGACTTGCAGAAACTGAACGGCCCTGAAGAGGCCAAGCTGTTCTCACAACTCTCCGGAGAACTCCGCCAGCTGCTCATGGAGAAGGAGCCAGAGCTGTGCATGAGGTCAGTGTCCCAGCAACTTCCACTACTAGCATGCCAGGAATCGCAAGAACCGCATCGGCTACTGTAGCTCCAAGGACTGCAACTTTCCAGCGAAGGGCACGAAGAAGACATTTCCTGCGAGTCGACAACGGAACACGACTCGCTCTTGGAGTGTGGCGGCGATTGCCCTGACGAAAGAGTTGAGCTGACAATCTCTGGCCATTCAACCCGACCAACTTGCCAGAGCTGCTTCGAGGCCGAATCTTGTAGTGTTTCTCCACTGCGGGGAATCAAGTGCACGGTCGATTTTGAGTCCCCTTGCTGCTTTTGCGTAGCACAAGATGTGCATAGCTCCGTCCGCGATTCACATGAACCACCAATCTTCTGTGTATTGCAAGATGCCCTGCGAGGACATCCGTCCTGCACAGAAGAGCCCACGCACACCTCTGGGATGCGGTCGCCAGGGTCTGCATTCTCAGCATGTGCCGCCAGTCGCCGAGTCACCCGAAATTCGGCTGGCCGTGGCATGTTGATGATCTGCTTGCCGTTGTAGGCGAAGCGGTCACCATCCCAGGAGTAGCTCACTGGGTCCAGCCCAAATATCTCCATGCTGCCATTGCACTCAAGGTCCGAGTCGCCTAGCTTGTACTCAAAGGTCACCTCGGCCTCCCTGACATAGGTCCTCCATTCTTCCTCGCTGCCCGAAATTTCTGCCGAAGGGTCCTTGACGTCCAACAATAGCTTGAAAGCAATCGTGCCGTTACTGTCGCATCGAAGAGTGGGCACTAAGCTAGTCTCCTCAAAACACTGCTGCAACACGGATTGCACTTCACTGCTTGGACGGCCTTCGTAAAAGCAACTTGCCAGCCGCTCAGCTGCCTTCTGAGTGTTCCTGACTTTCTTCATCGCATTGTAGGCGCTTCTGATCCTGCGCACACTGTCTTCCATCATGGTTTGATTTGACTTGCTGCCTAGGTCGCGTGGCACCCGCGTACCAGGATTGGCCACAGCTTTCTGATGGTTCTTGATTGCGCGTCGTCTTGCAATCTTGCCGGTGTTCCGCGCAAGCTTCTTCAAGGCGTTGCGGAGCATGTACGCCACGACACGTCTGACAAACATCGGGATGGCAAGGCGACGCCTCTGCATGTGATCCTGCAACCAGTTTTCAGCCAAGGGGACATCATCAGATGCGCCCTGTCCACCAAAGCGTGTGAGCAGGCGCCGGTAGAGCCAAAGCACATTTTGATTGGGAGAGCTGGCAAAGTACAAGTGCGGGCTGACAGCAGCATTCCAAAGGTCTTGAGCAAAGTGATGGCAATTCCACTCCAAGGCATGGTAGCCGACACGTTCAGGGCTTTGCTCTTGTGCACGCACAAGCCAATCGGTGAAGTTCAAATCAGGACGGAGGTCTGAGAAAGTCGCAGTGAGGAAGACCTCTCCGTCATCCGGAGACCTGAAGGCACACGTGCGGTCCTCCAGGTTGGGGCAAAGGTGCACCCAATAGTTGCTCTTCTCCACGCGGTAGGTCAACAATTGCCCTGCTTTCTCAAAGTCAGCCGTGCTGACTGTGGGAGCCGCCAAAGATGTCAGCCGGGTGAAATCGACTGACCCGCTGCGTGTGCCACTCAAGCGAAACTAGCCTTGATGGTTGCGGAAAGCTTGGCTGACCACGGATGAAAGGCATCACGGTCGCACAGCCTCTGCTGTTGCAGGGCAGATCTTGCTGCAACTGCCGCGACATGCCGCGGAGCACACGGTGCCGTGCCGAATCTGCTGGTAATTCCATGCCGACAAAACGTGCGGAAAAAATCGCGGCCTCTGTGCCAAGAAGACCCCAGGTTAGCCACGTAAAGCCAACGACTGCGGCTGCGAACGTGAGCAGTCGAACATGCCGGCCCTCTGCCATGGCGCTGTTGCAGTATCCACATGAGACACTTGCCTGGGGTCGGACTGATCACTTCTGAGCCTCATCAGTGTGTGCCATGCTGCTAACCTCTCACTTGCATCAGCGAAAAGAAACGGAAGAAACACATGCCAAGTCAACCAAGTCCTCCAGCACAGCTTCTGCCGCGGTCCTCAATAAGGAGGCCGGAGTTCAGTTCCAGCAAGTTTGGACATGAACTTAAGCTTGCTGGGGTCGTGTGCAATGTCTGTGTGAACTCCACAAACGAGCAGTGCCGCAAAAATGGTACTCCATGTCAAGGCTGCTGACACGAGACACAAGAATCCTCACATTGCTGAGGGTTTGGCCGCTTCGTGGTAAGCAGCCAGCACAACCTGCGGCTCATGTCATTAGCTCCTTGTGCTGATGCACTTTCGAACTGAAGACGCCAGCATGGCCAAGCCTGCCAAACCTCTCCACCAGCATAAAACCAACCAAAGGCGTTGAACGACGAAGATGTGCAACAAGACTCCCGGTCATTTCAACTGCTAGAAGGCCTGTTGTCGCAAGCCCATCTGCACCAGAAGCTTTCAAACAGACTTACAACTATAGCGTTGTTTTTTCAGTCGCCCCAAAGCCACGGCACAGGGTCTTGGCCACTTTAAACCTTTACGTCTTTAAGGTTTTCAAGAGTTTTGCATCTTGCGAGGGGTCATAGGAGATTCATCATCGCCCCGATGTTTTGAACAAATCATCACCAAATCATCATTGATTCACCAAAAAAAGATCATAGACTCCCCAATAATAATGAGCATAATTGATTCTTTCTGGGTATGCATCGGAATTGCCAGCTGAAGTTGGGCAGGTAAGCATGTTGTGCAGTGTAGCTCGAAGTTGCTTCGTTTGGCTGCTACTGGTACTACGTCTGCACCATGCGCAAAGCTAATGGCTGCACAGTGCATCCTTCCACTTCCAGCATCTTCCAGCCTTCACTGCAGCAGAGGAATGGCGACGGCGACGGCCAGAATCAGAGCGGCAATCCCGAAGCCTCAGTGGCTAGGCGTTCTCGCAGCTCAATGAGCATTCGCGGCTGGGTTGAACCCAAAGAGCCCAATCACTTAATTAAGGGATATTCCTTAAATCATCATAAGGATACTTTTATAATTTGAGCAATATTCCTTAGTTAAGGGCTATTGGGCTCTCTGGGAAGTGGACAAGCTGCTGGCAACATGCTGAGGCTCTTACTGGACTCACTGGTCTCAGGGACTTGACGCTTGCAAGCATGGGGACACTGGGAGGGGTAGCTGTTCCAAGAATGGGACACTCGTCAATGCTTGTTGGGTCCCCCCCCCCCCCCCAATATTAAACTCCCCCTAAGCCTAAGATTAAATATCCCCCATGATAGTTATGTTGTAGTAAATAGGGCGGGGGTTTTAATATTAGGGGGTAGGGGGGTTTAATATTGAGGGGATTAGACTCTTCCACGTCCTCTTCCGTGGCTCAGCGCGCGGCAGGCTGCGACAGGTCCCTTGGAAGGTCCCTTGGGAAACTCCTGGCTGGGAGCAGCCGGTGTTTCTGAGCTACGAAAGTTCAAAAGCAACATGACCGTTGTTTCAGGTGCTCTTTGTTCGTGCTTTTTTCTCTACACTTTTCAGTGCCTCCTTCTCTTTACAACATCGAACGATTCAAAAATAGAACTCAAGGGGAACATGGCTTCGCGGCGGCGATCTGCTTTGGATTTGGTGCTAGATGCATGTCTTGCTGAGCCGGGCTTTGGTGACTTTTATGAGTCCCTCGCTGCTACGCCGGCTGGTTTTAGGCCTAGTCCGGGCTTTTCCAACGCTCGATGAAGTGCTTGACTAGTGAATGCTCGGACTTGAGATGCTGAACCCTAAACCCTAAACCCTAAACCCTAAACCCTAAACCCTAAACCCTAAACCCTAAACCCCAAGCCCCAAGGTTTTGTGAAAGGATCTCCTGGGCCTCCTTGAAAGAGCTGGAGGTTCCCTTCGGCTGCTCTACAGGATCAGGTCCTTGCAGGGTCGACTCAGTTGGGGGTTTGGGTTTAGGGTTTAGGGTTTAGGGTTTAGGGTTTAGGGTTTAGGGTTTAGGGTTTAGGGTTTAGGGTTTAGGGTTTAGGGTTTAGGGTTTAGGGTTTAGGGTTTAGGGTTTAGGGTATTGGGGGTTTCCGAAATTAGGGACACCTTATGGCTGTCCATATAAGGAATCCTACTGTTTGGGGGGTTGTTTTAGGGGTTCCTTTTTTGGTAAACTCTCAGTGAGGCGCAGTTAGACCAAGTTCGTTCACTGCACTTTGTACCGTGGCCAGGACGAGGGCGGAATACAAGTGCCCGACATATTTGAACTGCACCAAATTCTGTTGCGTAGGACAGTCT